TGGGCGAATAAATTCTATAAATAATGCATTAGTGAAAGCCTTTGTGGTTTGTGGCATTCCATTCTCTGCAATTGAGAATCCATTTTTTATCGACCTTCTTCAAAATTTGTGCCCAAGTTATGAACCACCATCAAGAACAGTATTAGCAAGTCAATTGTTAAACCAAGTGCATTCTAAAATTATTATAAAACGGGAAGCTGTTCTTAGAGAATCAAAAAATTTAACGATGGGTATATATATTTAATAATAAAATTACATTTTGTAATATATTACATACTAAATTATTTTTATTCATAGCACTGGATGGATGGACATCACCTAATGGAAATTCTATTTATTGTTTTATTATTTTAACACCAACGCGTAATAAATTTTTATATTCACTATGCGATTATTCTTTAAATTCACATACTTCTGATTTTCTTGCAAACAACATTGAGTGTGCTATAAATGAAATTGGGAATAATAAATTTGCGGCAATTGTTACTGATAATGCAAGTAATATGAAGCTTGCTCGACGAATTATTCATGAAAAATATCCAAACATTTTAAATTTAAGTTGTATTGTGCACTGTATTAACCTTATATCTAAAGATATCCTTAGTAAGTATTAAAAAAAGTATTTCATATATTTAATTTTCATACTGCTAATATAAATTTTATTTTAGAATATACATTTAGTTCACGCCTTATAAAAGATTGTAATGAAATTATAAAATATTTTAAAAAATCGCATCAACCAAATGCATACTTACAACAAGCAGTCAATGAGTTAAAAATTTCTGGGGGAGGATTAAAAAAATTTGTTGATACAAGATGGACTTCCGCATATGAATGCACTCTATCTGTTAGTCAGCTTGAACGTGCATTTATTAAAGTAAGATACAATATTTGAGCAATATTTTTACAAAATAAATAAATAAATAAATAAATTTTTTTATTAAAAATTTAAACAGATATGAATGAAAATCCAGATTTAATTACGAATCGTGTTGTAAAACAAATCTTAAAAAAAGCATTTTTTTTCTCAGATCTTAAAATATTAGTTAGAGTTTTGGCCCCTATTCGGGCAATAATAGTGAATTTAGAAGCTCGATCTACAACCTTAGCTGATTGTTTTTTGCAGTTTATTCGATTAGCAGCTTCTATTAAAAAAATTTCAACCTTTCGTATTAATACATTCAAAAATTACTGCATACATGTTATTAATAAAAGGTGGAAAGATTTTGATAGTGACAACTATTTATTAGCTTATTTTTTATACCCAAGATATCGCGGTATATTATAATTTAAAGTTTTTAATAAATAACAAATTATTAGAATATTAATATAATATTTATTAGGTATTGAATTACGAGAACAACAGTTTCAAACAATTGCAAAAACAGCAATTACAATATGGCAACAAGAAGGATATGATCAATATGAATGTGCAAATCTCGTATCATATATGCAACAATTCCGAGAAAAAGAAGATGGATTTGATCTACCTTATAGTTTTGAAAAAGATACACCCCTGTTATGTTGGATGACAAATCATGTTGGTTCTAAATCAATTGGACAATTTGCAAGAAAGCTCTTTTTAATCGTTTCTCATTCTGCTGATTGTGAAAGGACCTTTTCATCATTAGGTTGGCTATATGGAAAACGCAGACAAAGGCTCTCCCTTCTCCGAGTTCAGGCTATGGCACAAATTCGATCCTTTTGCATTTCAAATATA